CTTACCCCCCTCCACCCAACCCCTGCTCCACTCCAGGCCTTCACCACAGTATTGTGTGTGTCCATGGGCTATGCATATATATATGTAAGTTCTTTGGTTAATCTCTTCCCATCACCCCCACACCCCTCCCTTCTGAGCTCTGTCAGTCTGTTAGGAATGGATGTTCTTAAAACTAGAATGACTTTTATTGACGACTTTTCTTTTTAAAAAAAAAACACATTTTTATTGATTTCAGAGAGAGGAAGGGAGAGGGAGAGAAAGAGATAGAAACATCAATGGTGAGAGTCATTGATAGGTTGCCTCCTGCACACCCCTCACTGGGGATCGAGCCCACAACCGAGGCATGTGCCTGACCGGGAATCGAACTTCAATCTCCTGGATCCTAGGTCGATGCTCGACCACTGAGCCATGCCCGGCCAGGCTATTGACTTATTTTCAATGCAACCTATGTTTATTGAGTCTTATTAGGAAAACAGTGTTTGGTATTATAAAAATAGTGAGTAAGATTATTTTGGCTCATAATTAATGAATTACAGAGCTAGATAATAAATAAAATTATGTTGGCCTGTAATCTGTTAAGGAAGATAAATGCAGTATGGACTTATAAAAATAACTAATAATAGGCAGATAGTGTGTGCCATGAGAGAAGTATGAACAGAGTACTTAGAGAATATAGTTAAAAGACATTCAGCCTGGCCGGGTGTGGCTCAGTGGTTGAGTGTCGACCTAGGATCCAGGCGATTGGGGTTCGATTCCCTCCCGGTCAGGGCACATGCCCGGGTTGTGGGCTCGATCCCCAATCGGAGGCGTGCAGGAGGCAGCCGATCAATGACTCTCTCATCATTGATGTTTCTATCTCTCTCTCTCCCTCTCTTTTCCTCTCTCTGAAATCAATAAAGGTATATTTATAAAAAATAAAGACATTAATTCAGATTTGAGGATCAGGGAAGGCATTTTGGAAGTAGTTTAGGTTCAACTGGACCCTGAGGTTGGGACTTCCAATAGGTAAGTACTAAAGAGAGGGGCACTTGGAGCATAAGGACCAGCTTGTGGTAAGATGGAGATGCAAGACAGTACAGGCTATATTTAGGACTACACTAGCAGGGAATTTAGTGCCTGGAAAGAATAGTAATGATAATGCCAACACTCACCGAGTGCTTGCTGTATGTGAGGTACTGTTCTAACTGCTTTACATGCAATAATTAAATTTGTCTTCACAACACTTAATGAAGTAGATACTGTTAGGGACTCATTTGTACAAGAAACAGACAGAGAAAGGCAAAATAATTATATTTTAAATGGGTAGGAGAACTGAGGTATGAATCCAGGCATTTTGTTCCAGAACGGTATTCTTAAGTATTATGCCATCATGGCCCTTTATTGACTTTTTGTTGCATTCTTTCTGCAGGAATTGCCATCTTTTGCATGCTACTCACCTACTACATGTGGATCAAAGCAGTCAAGACTGGTTCCATCTACTGGGCAGCCAAATGTGCCCTTGCTTATTTCTACATGGTAACTCTTCACTTTCTTTTAGGAGTCTCTCTATGTCTGAATACCTACTGGGGTCTACTGATATAAATTGGAAGTAGCTCTTGGGGGAATGGAGGCTAGAAGTCTTTATTGCCTCTTGTATCCATACAAAGACTAATCCAAAGCATGGATATCAATTGTATAATAGCAAGATAGAGATGCTTTAATTTTTAAAGTTCTTCAGATACTGTATTTCCTATGGGTACATATCTCTTTTCTGATATGGTCCTCTTAAATTTTTTTATACGTATATTTGTTTGGTTTTATGTATACACTGAGACTTCTTCCCTTAACTACTTCACTTGCTCATGTTTCCCATGTGTCACTAGATTCTCCATGTGAACTTAAAATAGATTGCATCTAGATAACCCTGAAGGTTGGGTGCCTCTTGTTTTATGACTTTGATGTGAGGAGCCATAGGGAACAGGGGATTAAGTTATAGCAATGGGTGTGAATTTGCTTTATGGTTGTGAATTTGATTTTTTTTTTTTAAAGAAATCAGCTATTTAAACTCTAAGCCACTTGGCATAAATAAAGTTTATTAGTTATTGTAAAGAGATGTTCTTTAAAAAGGTCACAGGTGATATTCTAAGGTATACTGGTGGTGGTATGAGGAGGAGTCCTCAGAGGAACTGTTCTTTTTATCCTGTCATAGGTCTCTTCATGGGGAGGTTATGTATTCTTGATCAACTTGATCCCTCTCCATGTACTGGTGCTGATGCTCACAGGACGTTTCTCCCACCGGATCTATGTGGCCTACTGTACTGTTTACTGCCTGGGCACCATTCTTTCAATGCAGATCTCCTTTGTGGGTTTTCAGGTGAGTCCTAGGCTGAGTGGGGTTTTTAGCTTCTACTTGTTCTAAGCAGCTCCAACTTGATTGATTTATTTTGGATAGTGGTGAGGAGAGAGTCTAACCTTGGACTGCTTGTGTTAACTGAAGTAACAGAATCATTGGTCATTAAAGTCTCCTTCCAGGAGGACATTAATATTTGCTCCAGGAAGTTTGAATTTATGATTCTTCATTTGGCTTAGGTTTGTAGGAAGAGGGGAGAGATTTTGGTTGAGCTGAGTTGTGAGTGATCCAAGTTATTTCTCCTCCTTTTCAATGATAATGACTCCATTTAATAGTCATGACCCCTGAACTTCCTAATGCAGCCTTACCAGAGTCCTTCAGGAAGAAGAGCACAAACGTTTTAGCCACATTACCCTCCAGAATTAAGAGACAACTATTAAAGCAGAATAATAGGGTGTGTTTGGTTTCTCATGTAAGTCTTATGAAAGTAGAATCCTTATTCAGAGGTTAACAAGTCTTTACTGTTCAACTCCTATGTGCAGTTTGCTAATCACTGGGAAATGTGAAAAGTAACAGTGTGGTCCTGGTCCTTAGGGAAGTTACAGCCTTGCTGTGGGGAAAGAAGTATATGCAGCTCTCTGCAGTCTGTAGTATGTGGTTCTAGAAATGTAGTGCTTGGACCAGCAGCATCAGCAGTATCTGGGAACTTGTTAGAAATCCAAATTCTCGTGCCCCACCACAGACCGACTGAATCCGAAACTCAAGGTGGGCTCAGCAATGCCCCCTACCCCCCATGATTATGATGCTTACTAGAGTTTGAGAACAGCTGGTCTAAACAAAGATTTTTAAGTCATGGGAGAAGTCTGTAGTTTAGGGAACATAGAGGGGAGTGATGGATTTCAATTTGGCAGATGAGGGGAAAATGGTATTTGCATTGGGCCTTGAATGATGAGAATGTCAGTGAATGCAAATTATGGGGAAATGAGAAAATTGCAATTCAGGCTAAAAAAGTAGCCTGAGGAATGGCCAGAGGTGTGATAGAGTGCTCATTCTTTCGAAAGTGTAGCAGGTGAATTAGACCCTCCTCTAGAATGGTCCTAAATCCTTGGTGGCTTCAGAACTCATTTGACCCTTCAGCCTGAACTAGGTTAGTATAGTTCAGGTCCCAGCTGGACCCATTCTTTTTCTAACATTATTCTCATTCATGCTTTTACCAACAGCCCGTCCTTTCATCAGAGCACATGGCAGCCTTTGGGGTTTTTGGTCTCTGCCAGATCCATGCCTTTGTGGATTATCTGCGCAGCAAGTTGAACCCACAGCAGTTTGAAGTTCTTTTCCGAAGTGTCATCTCTCTGGTGGGCTTTGTTCTTCTCACCGTCGGAGCTCTCCTCATGCTGACAGGTAGGGAGGGCTCATGGCCTTTCGCACTAGATGTAAATGAGTTTCAGACGTCGAATAAACTTCAAAAATATGGGTCAAGAAGGATTACTTCTTTTTCTCCTGTTTCTCTTTTTCATTTCAAACCTATGAAGTCCTGCTTCTTCAACACTGATTTCGCTTGTCAACCTAGTGTTTGGATTCAGCGTAGCAAAGGATGTCTTGTTAGAGCAGCTCTTAGTCTCGGAAGAATCAGACTTGGGAAAGGACCGTATCTTACCTTGGTTATCCTCTTTTCTTTTTTTGTTTTCTGTTGGTAGAGTGGGAGAAATCCTAACATTGCTTGCGAAACCCTACAGCGTGGCTCCATCTGATCCTATATGCACTAAACCACAGCTGTTTAGTTTGGTTAGCATATCACCTTTTCCTCACTTCCACTTCTCAGAGGCTGATTTGATTTTGCCAAGTTTCTGTGTATTGTCTAATTCAGAGCAGCACCAGAGGTCGTAGTTGACTTAAAGTTGGCCTTGGTTTGACCAGATTTGGCCTAAACCCTTCCAGGAAGCACTTCTGCCTCCCTTCTAAGTTTAAGTACAGCCTGACTTTGTTTTGCTCACTCTGCTGACAAAGGACTCTCAAGTTTGAAAAAAAGGAAGGAGTGAAATTCTCAAAGTATTGACGGCATTTAAACAAAAACCTAGTCCTCCTCTGTCTCAGAGAATATTACTAAAATGAGAAGTTGTGATTAGGATTAGATGTTATTTTGTTTCAGGAGTGATTGTGAAATATTTATTTTCTTTGCTGCCAGGAAAAATATCTCCCTGGACGGGGCGTTTCTACTCACTGCTGGATCCTTCTTATGCTAAGAACAACATCCCCATCATTGCTTCTGTGTCTGAGCATCAGCCTACGACCTGGTCTTCATACTATTTTGATCTACAGCTTCTTGTCTTCATGTTTCCAGGTCTGTCTGCCTTGTGTTCTGAAGTGGCTTTCTTTGTAAAAATTACCATTTGTTTCAAAATAAGTAAAATACCCTTGTCCTTTGGGTTTTTGTTTTTTGCCTATTTACCCTGTTCAGTATAGAGGATGGCTAAGCCCTTTTTTCTGATATTTGAAACAGAATAGATGTTAGAATTGAACAATTGCAGACACTGGCAAGTTCAGAGCCTCACAGTTTTCTCTTCATTTATATATTAAAATTCAACCCTAATTTGTGTTCAGGTTTTTTTTTAGTTTTTTTAAAAAATACTTCTAGTGTACCTCTCTCCCACTGCCCTTTCCTGATTTCCCATTTAGCTTGGCGGTATAAACAGGCATGGCTGATTATAAACCTCTCCATCTAACTTATCTTCCTGCCAATCCAGATATGTTTTAGATTTTACCAGTTGTAGGGCTTCCCTTTTTTAAAAATTATATTTTATAAAATAACTTTTATATTTTTTCTTATTATAAAAGTAACTTATCTATTGTAAAAAATATAGTAGACAAGTGAAAAAAGTTAAAAATTTCAATTCTTCTCACACATCTGTTGCTAGTGTTAACATTTTGATGTATATTCATCTAGTTACTTATTGAATAATAATGAAATGCTACAGTTTTCCCCCTGATTTTTTTCATTTCATAAGGAATCATGATAATTTCTGTTTAGTATTATTATTTTAGATAAATAATGTTTAAGATACACCATGTTAGTTTTTTTAAAGTTACAGTGATGTATAAAGAAGGCAAGTGGTCCATAATCTTTGCATCAATATTTTAATTTGATGTAGTATAACCTGCTTTGTAAATATGCTATAATTTACCTCCTTAATGCTGGACATTAGGTGGTTTCAGATTTGTTGCTATTTTAAAGAGTGCTGTAGTGAACATCTTTGTGTATATCGGATTTTTTTTTGAACTACTTACTTTTTACTTTTAATTTTGTAGTCGGTCTCTATTACTGCTTTAGCAACCTGTCTGATGCCCGGATTTTCATCATCATGTATGGTGTGACCAGCATGTACTTTTCGGCTGTAATGGTGAGAAATTCCCTCAGTCCTCGCAAACCTTTCCACTGCTAACTCTGAGGTGCCTTTTTGTTTCCTGCATAGCAGGATTCAGAAAGTACCGATGATTATGCAGGTGCTTCCCTCTGTGCACTTGAGGGCTGCGTTGTAAAACTGCTCACTGGTTGATCCTTCGCAGGCATGTGTGAGCACTCATACATTCTGATTGTGGGGCCCAGCTTTCCTGTATTCATAACTTTGTGTTAGGAAGAGGCGCTTCCACATTGTTGGAGAGAGTGACCCTGGCAGGTTCCTTCCCCTCTCAGTGTCTTAAAAAGGGAGTTGATTTTTTTTCTTAAAACCCTGGGAGGATTGTTGAGTGCTAGGTTGTTAAAACAGGAGAGATTTTATATATTGTAACAAGACTGTTTCCTCTACTTTTTTGATCCCAAACCACAGTTAAGAAATATATTTTATATTACTCAGTACACACATACACATATACATATATAGAACTGAAGAATTAAGTTTAAGAAATACATATTTCTGCTACTGTAGATTTATTGTTTTCTCTTCCAGTTTGTTCTGTTTCTTTGAAAAGTCATGTTTGTTGAAAACACCTAAATTGATGTCATGATCTACTCTTAGGTTGAAATCTGTAATTTGTAAAATACTGATTAGGTGTGATCTTGCTTCCTGTCTCTTTTAGGTTCGTCTGATGCTAGTGTTGGCACCTGTTATGTGCATTCTTTCTGGCATTGGAGTCTCCCAAGTGCTGTCCACTTATATGAAGAATCTGGACATAAGTCGTCCAGACAAGAAGAGCAGGAAGCAGCAGGATTCTACCTACCCTATTAAGAATGAAGTGAGTATTAAGCAACACTAAGAGCAGTCTTGGGAAACTGTGTGTGTGCATATGCGCACGTGTGTGTGTGTACATATATCTTTTTGAGTAAGGGAGTAAGAGTAGGGGACTGTCATAAGTGGTCAGAATTAACTTACATAGCTCTTGACCTATTTTGATTCCTCTCATCTATATTATTAACTGTGTAAGAAGCTGTTCTGTGTTGTGTAAATTTAATTTGGTTTTATGACACAATTTTTCCTTGTCTAGGTGGCAAGTGGGATGATATTGGTCATGGCTTTCTTTCTCATCACCTACACCTTTCATTCGACCTGGGTGACCAGCGAGGCCTACTCTTCTCCCTCCATCGTGCTGTCTGCTCGTGGTGGGGATGGCAGTAGGATCATTTTTGATGACTTTCGAGAAGCCTACTATTGGCTTCGTCACAATACTCCAGAGGTAAAGACTTGGGAAAAGTGGGATTGTGGGTAGGGTAAAGGGGCAAACATTTGATGTTCTAGTGAATTATAGCCTTTAGATGGGTAGAAAGTTTGAAAAAATTGTAACTATAGAACTCTAGTGTTGAATGAACTTTAAAAGTCGCCTTCGTTCAATTCAGGATTTCCACTATAGTGACCCTTACTGGTAATTACACTGTGCTTGTATTGTCAGCATGGTGATTTATCATGAGGTAGACTATCCCAAAAGAAGAAAAAAAGTTACATATAAATATTACATGTTCATTGTAGAAAAACCAGAAAATAGAAGCAAGAAAAAAGATAAATTTTTCATAAAGTGATCACCTAGTGATAACCACTGTTAACATTTTGGTTTATACCTTTTGAGAATCTGAGTGATTTCCTTTGCAGTAGCTATTGGAAATAGCACTTCTGAGTTAGATTTGTAAGAGTCAAAACTTTAAGAATTTTTTAATCCTTTCCCATTATATCCTGTGATTTATGTTTCCCCCTATTACTATAACTGATTTTTTTTTATATTGTTAAAGACCATTTATTTAATACAGTTACCTGATGAGGCCATTCTATTTATTTGGAAATATTGAACAGTCCCCTATACCTCCCACTTCATTATAGTTTTTTGTGAAAAGGTGATCTGTGATGAAAGTATTGGGAATGTTGGATTGTATAATTTGTGCTGAGATCTCATGATTGTATATAAATGTATGACCAGTTGCAAAGGTTTATTTTCTGGTGAGGCATGCATTATTTTGTGAAGAAATTGATTAATTAGCCATGCCTCATTTCCTATGAGATGCCCTTCCACCCCCTCTCTTGTATGTGATTTTTGGAGGCAGTGAGAAGCTTGTTATTTTCATTTCCCATGCTTCTTTCAGGATGCGAAGGTCATGTCATGGTGGGATTATGGCTACCAGATTACAGCTATGGCGAATCGGACGATTTTAGTGGACAATAACACATGGAATAATACCCATATTTCTCGAGTAGGGCAGGTAAGGTAAAGGGGTCAGTTGAGTGTTTGACCCACAGGGTCTAGTGGGAAGTATTTCTCCATGAGGGATCATATGACCTGGAATTTTGTTCTGAGAAATGTGCACGTGTTTTTCTAGGCAATGGCATCCACAGAAGAAAAAGCCTATGAGATCATGAGAGAGCTTGATGTTAGCTATGTGCTGGTCATTTTTGGAGGTCTTACTGGATATTCCTCTGATGGTAATGTGTTTGATTCTGCTTCTGCCCGTAGGACCTAGATTCTAGGAAAACTAGATGACTCTTCTATTTTTCTGTCCTTTTACTATTCTCTTATTAACATTTTCTTAGTTGGGGAAGTTCCTAAGAATTTGCATCTCGAGTTGGTTATTTTTATTTATTTATTATTATTGTTTTTGGCAACAAGTAGGAAGTAAATGTAAATATGTCTCTTGTAGCTTTGGCATACTATACTGTCTAAGGCCTAGGAGTAGCTCCACAACCAGTAGACAGATAACATAAAGCTTCTGAAAACGAACTTATGATTTAACGTTTTTTAGTAGGTTTAAGCCATAGAATAACCTGTCAGCTTAAAATCTTTTATATATATTGTACACACACACACGTATATATATATATATGGCCTATGTTAACAATGTTCCCTGTGATTCTTAGCAAAACCGTAGTTTTAGAAGTATCATCCAAGTGTTGATCTCTGCCTTAAAAAAACTTAAAAATTAAAGCAATACCTTTTCATACTTTAAAATGTTAAACACTTCTGAAAGTTTATAAAAAGAGTGGTATTCCTGTCCCTAAACCTAAACCTATGACCTTGGCTTATTGGGACGACGCTCTAACCAACTGAGCTACCCTGCCAGGGCCTATCATTGTGGTTTTGGTTTCCATTTCCCTAATGATTAGTGATGTTAAGCACCTTTTCACATACATGTTGGTCATTTGACTGTTTTGTGGGAAATGTCTGTTCAGGTCCTTTGCCCGCTTTTAAATTGGATTATTTGGGGTTGTTTTTTGCTGTTGAGTCATGTGAGTTCTTTATTTATTTTGGGTATTAAGTCCTTATTCGATATATGATTTGTAAATTTTTTTTTCGTTCTGTAAGTTTTTTCATTTTGCTGATCATTTCTTTTGCTGGGCACTCCTCCATTCTTAAAGCTTGTTGGGTTTTTGCTTCAAACATACCCACCAGGAAGCTACAGGATCAGTGCTCTAAGACAGTTGAGTTGATGTTTTGGGGTTTGTTTTTGGCCCTGTTTCTGGCTGTGTGATCCAGGCAAGTCTCTGTACCTCTGTTTTTCCATATATAAGGTGGAGGTAAGACTGCAGATACTATGCGAGGATCGTAACATTATTTATTGAATGCTTGCAAATGATATTTTAAATACTTTACATACTCTTACTCATAATACTGTAGCAGCTACATTGTTGTAGATACTGTCAGAAACTGAAACACAAAGAGGTTAAGTAACTTGCTGAAGGCCACCCCCCTAGAATTGGCAATGCTGGGATTCAAACCCAGGCAGTTTACTTTATTTTTATGATTTTAATTTTTTGTCTTTATTGATTTCAGAAAGAGGAAGGGAGAGGGAGAGAAACATCAATGATGGGAGAGTCATTATCGACTGCCTCCTACTTGCCCCCTATTGGTGATCAAGCCCGAAACCCCAGGCATGTGCCCTGACTGGGAATCAAATTGCAATCTCCTGGATCAAAGGTTGATGCTCAGCCGCTGAGCCACGCTGACTGGGCTCAAACCTAGACAGTTTAGATCCAGAGTCTGTTTGTGACTACTGTGATATACCCTGGAACCCTTTGCAGTAGGAATCTGTTTTTCTTATGGATCAATAATATTTTTATACTAACCATCCATTTCCCTAAAGTCTCTGGGGGAGATACAAAGAGTAACATACTCTAAGAGAGATAACCTGAGTTGACAACAGTGGTATCAGTATTTTGAGGTAGAAATGTTGACTTCTCACAAATATACTTTGGAGGTTTGTAGGTTTGTAACTTCGCACCTGTAGGTCAGGAAAGGGAGCATGTTCATGTCTTCCTTACCTTTCTGGTAAAGCTGCTACTCCCTAGGTCAGTACTGTCCAATAGAAATGTAATAGAGGCACATATGTCATTTTAAAATTTCTGTTCACCACATCAAAATACATAAAAAGAAATGCGGGAAATGAATTTTATTTTAAATTTTTATTTTTTACTTTTTAATTGAATTTATTGGGGTGACATTGGTTAATAAAATTATATAGGTTTCAGGTGTACAATTCTATAATACATCATCTGTGTATTGTATTGTGAGTTCACCCACCCCAAGTCAAGTCTTCTTCCATCACCATTTATTCTCCCGTTCCCTATTCTGCCTCCCCCACCCCCTTGAAATGAATTTTCATAATTTTACTTAACTGAATATTATTATTTAACATGTAATCAAAGTATTTTACATGCTTTGTTTTGTTTTTGGACTAAATCTTAGAAATCCAGTGTGTGTTTTATACTTACAGCATATCTTAATTTGGACTCACCACATTTCAAGTATCAGTAGCTACATGTGGCTAGTAGCTACTCATTGGACAGCTCAGCCCCAGCTAATACCTGGGACTAATTTCAGTTATGACTTAAGTCTGGACTACAATAGTATGGGATTTCAGGAGTTAAATAATCTATAGGACAAGTTGTATATTTTGAGGAAAAAAGTTTTGTGCACAAATTGTCTTTCCAGTTTTTATAAATGAGTTAAATGGTACCACTCCCCAGTAGAAAAATATTTGGGGAATTTCCTTAGAAATAGTCACCTTTTCATTAGGTGATTTAGCTACAGCAACCCTTGTGATGCAGCAGTTCTTTTTTTTTTTTTTTCCTAGACATCAACAAGTTTCTGTGGATGGTCCGGATTGGAGGGAGTACAGATACTGGCAGACATATCAAGGAGCATGATTATTATACTCCAACTGGGGAATTCCGTGTGGACCGGGAGGGTTCTCCAGTGCTGCTCAACTGCCTTATGTATAAGATGTGTTACTACCGCTTTGGACAGGTCTACACAGAAGCCAGTGAGTGATTCACAGCGACATTAATAACAATAATAACAGTGATAGCTAATACAGTGTTTTCATGTGTCAGGCACTATTCTAAGTGCCTTACATATATTAACTCATTTAATCCTCACAATAGCCCAAAAGGTAATTACTAATATTATTCCCATTTTATATATGAGGAAATTAAGGTACAAATAGGGCACTTAATTGCTCAAAGTCACCTAACTAGTGGCAGAGTCAGGTTAAACTCATGAGATCTGGCTTTAGAGTCTATGCTTTTACCCATTATTTTTTATTCTCTCTCAGTAAAAGGTATTGTAATGGAGAAAGGAATGAAGGGGGTAGAATAAAGGACTTTTCATTTCTTTAGATAAATACATTAAGAGTAATTTGATTGGGTTAAGTCTTCCTTTCTAACTTCAATTTCTTAGTTCTGTGCTAGGGACAATTTCTGAACCAGATATAGGCCTTTGACTTCTGATCCATGGAAAGGTTACTAGTGTATCACAGAGGGCTCTGGGTGGCACTTCTTGGGCATAGAGGAGTTTTGAAGTCAGCCCCCTACATCTTAGAAGACAAGAAGCAGCAGCATCTTGGAGAGGACTTGAGTTAGGCTAACACTGCATTTGCCCTTACTACAGATGTCCTTTTCTGCAGGTCCTACTCTCTAAACAAACTGCAGGCTGAAGAATAACATTCCAGTTAATAGATGATTTACCAAAGTGATTTACTAATTCCTTAGGAAAGTTAGCACTGTAGAAAGAAGTGTATGTCTCTTCTCTGTCCCTTTCTAGAGCGTCCTCCAGGCTTCGACCGTGTGCGGAATGCTGAGATAGGGAATAAAGACTTTGAGCTTGATGTCCTGGAGGAAGCATATACCACAGAGCATTGGCTAGTCAGGATATACAAGGTGAGCAGATGTTACACTGGACTGTCATGTTTGCAGATTGGTTCTAGTGTTAAAAGTGGGCTACATATTTCTAAAATAGGGACATTTCTAATGCTCAAAAGGTAGCTTGCAATTCAGAATTTTACACTTTATTTTAGATTGTTCTTAGAGAGTAGACACCCCAGTCTGCTGTCATTGTGGCAGAGGTTGCAGTGATATTTTTCCACTTGGGGTTGAACTTGATCTTTTTAGTGATTATCAGACTTTGGCGTTAGGGGGTGGGGGTGGGGGAGAGAAAGTGTGTGTTTGTATTTTTGAACTACATTTTCTTCTCTTCACTGAAGAATTTATGGCATAGAGTAACATATAAGTGTGTTATATCTCTAACATAAGATTGAGAACCCTTGATGTATTTAGAAGGTAGATCATTTATACTGTTCCTCACAGGTATTTTAAAGGGCTAAGCAGAGAGTAGCTAGTCTTAAACCAGTGCTTGTTTAATCACAAAGCCAAACCAGGTAGCAGAATCCAATGTAATCCCTCCCCATAGGAGTGACCCAACCAATAGAGAAGCTCTTGCAAGTTGACCTGATTGTAAATATTAAACTGACATCTTTATGTTGCAGGTAAAGGACCTGGATAATCGAGGCTTGTCAAGGACATAAACATATTACATCCAGCTCTGATAACCTTCTCACTGAGCGCGTCACATTTAGGACGCTGAAGGCATTTTTAAAATATGCAGTTAATAAGAACAGCGCGATGGGATTAGAATTGTCCGGAAGTTTTGCCCTGGGCAGTATGGGCTGGGCCAAATGCAATGATTTTTATAATTCTGAGCAGGTTACCAAATGAAATGTCATGGCTTTACTTTGGTCAATTAAAGGGAGGGAATTTTTTTTTTTTTAATGTGCCTTATTTGTTTTTACTTTTGACTGATTTGAGGAAGGCAAAAGTTTATGCTGGGCTGATAGGACAGAAAGCAGACCTCATCCATGTTTTAGCTCCCTAAATCAGCTATGTAGGGGCATACTGTCTTTCTCTATCAAGTCAGGAAAATTATCTAGGGCTGGGTCAGTTCCTACATATACAAACAATTTTGTCATTTCAAAAATTGCAGCACCGAGCATAATGCCTTGCACATAGTGGGTGCTCAATAAACTTCTATTGAATGAATAAATGTGGGACTAGAGGAGTGCCATTTCTGGGTAGGAAAGGCAGCTGTGTTGCCATCATGTCTCTGTTCTCAACATATCTCGTCTTTGGGAGCTCTGACTTTATGAGGGAGAGAAGGTGGCTAGCCAGACCTCTTCTCAGTGTTCTTTGGGACTAGCTAGGTGGTTTGTTTTCTTTCTTTTCTTTAGCAGGACTAAATCAAGTGAGAATAAATCGGTTTTGAAGACTCAAGGCAAACAGTGAAATTTTTGTTCTCATTCTCAGTGGAGTAAGAGACTCCTCCGACATTATGTGTACAACTTGATGGTCAGTGGGTACTTTTGAATCAGCTGAAATATAATCACACATTATCTATTTAAAATCCAGCTCTTAGTACTCTCACTTATCCATGGTATAGCAAGTGTCTCTTTGCTCATTTCCTTTAGTTTATGCACTAAAACTCTTGTGGTTATTTAAAGGTGAGCTGCTTTATCCCTTAGTCTCTGCCTATGTGTTGTTATTACATACCACTAACAATCTCAATGATCTGGTTTTGAAGTCCTTGCCAAATAAGTTAAAAGTTAGGAGGAGGAATTGCTATTAGTAGTACCTAGTAGTACGTAGAGAGAAGTGCTAGTCTGTTAACTCAAAGCACAATAGTCCCATGGATATTTAATGTCAGGATAAACAGCCTTATGTTCAGTACAGTAGGACATTGTATGTATTTTACAACATAATACATATAACAGCAATGTGTATAAACCATACGTCATTAAAAAACAAACACGGTAACTGTTTAGTGTTACCTGTTGAGGAAACAGGAGCAATTACATGGCTTTTTAGAAAAGTCAGAATGGTGCTCCTAGAGGGTATGCTCAGGTATCCTTATATACCCAGGAAACTTAACCTTCCAAACCAGTTTATATACCAAGTGCTTCAACTGTTGTGAGATTTAGTTTTGATGCAATATTTGATTTACTATATGTAAATACATTACTTGATTTATATACAGAATTCCTCCCTAGTGAAAGAGGTTCTGAGGTTTGTTTATATTTTTAAATTTTTTACCAATATGAATAATACCATTTAGAGATCATTAATGGTCTTCCTCTGTAGTATATATGGGATAACCTTTTAACTTATCACTGTAGTTGTTGCTTTATTTTAATTTTGTTACTTTCTAGGCTGCATGAAGCTATCTTTTTGAAAAATTTACTTTTCATTTTCATTGTTATGGTACACTTAGTGTAAAAAAACTTAATTCTAAAAAGTAACAACAGTGTTTTCCACTCCCCAGAGGCAACCACTTTCAACTCTGCTGATTCTCACATAACTTACCACTGTCTCATTAAATAACTTGCTTTATTTTGCTTTGTGTTGGTTTTTCAATTTTAATTATCATCAGCTGACTTTCTAGTGTAGAAATTGAGGATTTTGCTCTTTTTCACCAGCTTGCTATTCCCATAGACCATTTTAAGATTCTATTATAGTTATGATTTAGGTTAGCTCAGTAGTTTTTACCTTATGGCTTTTCATAGCTAGGTCCTGTGGTGTATGTACTGTTACTACTTTTTCCCCCCTGCATAACTATTTTGGGGAAAGTTTTTTTCCCATTTGTTTTTTTGTGCTTGTCACTAATTTCTCCCCAAATTCTCATTCATTTGTGCCAACTTCCTTTTAATATGTTCAGACTCATTAGGTATGTCTTAGAGATGTCTTCTGTATTGGTATGTTCCAGTTTGGTTTACTCTTTAGGTTACACACCTCTTTGGGTTGGTGTATCCTTTCACTGTCATGTTATATTAATCCCCTGACTTGTTTCTTGATTTGTCACCTCCACCTAACTTCCTAAGAAAGTTTTTGGGAGATAAATTTCTTGAGATCTTGCATATTTCATGTCACACTCAATTAATAGGTTGGCTAGGTATAGAATTCCAGGTTGTGAACAACTTTTCCTTAGATTTTGAAGGCATTGGCCCATTGTTTTCTTCTTTAAATGTTGAGAAATCCAATGCTTTTCTGATTCGTGATTTTTAACTTTTTTGCATGTGTCCATTTTCCCTCTCACTTCCACCCCCAGACTCTTTAGGATCTTTCCTTTGTATGTCAATGTTTTGAAATTTTCCAATGATGTATTTTGGAATGGGTCATCCATTGTGCTGGGTACTTTAAACTTCTAAGTATGGAAAGTCAAGTTCTTCAGTTCTGGGAAATTTCCTTATTTTTGGATTTCTCCCAATTCTTTTTTCATTCTGAAAAATAAGCTGTTTGAATATTGGACTTCTCCCAATATTCATACAGTTTTCCATCTTTATGCTTCTTTCTGGAAGATTTCCTAAAAAATTTTGTTACTTGTCTATGTAGTTTCCCTGTTTTCTGCTATCACATTTTTTAATGTCCAAGAGGTGTGGTTTGTTTTGTTTGAATATTCCTTTGTTTTGACATCTTTCATATTAAAAGCCTTTTCAAATTCTCAGTTGTCTGCTCTTTTTAAGAGTGGGACCCTAAATAGCTGATTGGAAGATCTCTTTGGAGAGAGGGATCCAGGTCATTGAATGTGGGCCTCACTCCTGTTATCTGGCTGAATTGTTACATTAAGAAATCCCTGATAGTGGTATTTTATTTATTTAAAATATGCCTTTATTGATTTCAGAGAGAGGGATGAATGGATAGAAGCATCAATGATGAAGAGTCATTGATTGGCTGCTTCTTGCATGCCCCCTACTGGGGATTGAGCCACAACCTGGGCATATGCCCTGATCAGGAATCCAACTGCAATCTCCTGGATCATAGGTGGATGCTCAACCGCTGAGCCACGGGCGGGCTCATAGTGGTATTTTAGATCATTTATATAGGTGACATTCCCTTGAGAAGGCTTGTATATCTCCTAAGGTTACAAGCCAGGCTGCCAGATTTCTAAGAGTAAAGTGGGGAAAGAAGGCTTAGAGGTTCAACTTTCATTGCATAAACTTACACTTAATCCCCGTTTTCAGTAAGGTACTCAAGGCTGTGTACCTGATGCTCTCCAGCTCAGATACCATGTATTTACCCTCTCAAGTCTTGTACCAGCTTAGAGGAGGGACAGTTCTTTGGGTACACAGAGGGAGAGGGTCCAAGGGTCTATTTGCTTCTTACCTAATCTTTCAACCTACCCTCTTTTTAGCCCCACCTTCACCTACATTTCAGTTACCTGGTGTCACTAATTCAACTTGAGACTTTTGGAAGTTCTGTGATGTAAATCAAGTTGCTTTTCTGTTTTCCCATTGTTGTCTTTAGGATTCCTCTTTGTTTTATCTAAAGACTTCCCACTTGCCAAAATCTTGTTTTTCATTCTCTATTCTTGTGCTTTTTAAAGACTTACTATTTTAGTAAGGTTTCAGAAGGGAACAGAGGCTATTGTGTGCAGTCCTCCCATATGCTGTTTTTAACTGTATTCTGCCTAAAATCTATACCTTATTTTTTCAGGCTAAGATAACTTTAATTCCACCCAGACACATAGAAACTGAGCAGGTCCTCCTCTTCCTTTCTTCCTATTCTTTGTTTGCAGCACACAGTGCACAACTGAGAGAAAATGTAGTAAAACACCTAAAAACTTACTTTATTACGTGAAGCCTAACCTATGATTTCATGGTCAAAACTTCTTGAGCGGGCATTTTGAAGTGCCCCAGTCCTGTTTTAAAACGTGTGCATTTTTTAAAATTAAATTTTATTGGGTGACATTGGTTAATTGTGCATTTTTGTGTAACATGCATTACACTTACTTTACTCCATTACCAGTAACACAGTCGAGCTAGTTAGGCTCAGTGTGCCTGCCCAGCCTTAAGAGCTGGAGAACTTAGGGAGGTAATCTTGCCTGTGCCCCGAGTGAAGACTATCTCACTTTCCCGTATTATTTTACCCCTCAGCAGCCCTTCCCCCGAATTTACCTTCTCATTTAAACGGGCTGCTCTACTTTTAAACTTTGCGTTGTAAAATGAGGCGGAACAGCCTTTTTGGTCGACCTGCCCGTTTCCTGCACATTAAGGAGGCAGGTAGGCCCACGCTATGCTCTTCTTTCAAAGCCGCGGGGCTAAGGAGCTGTTCCGGAGCGGTCCAGACAACACAGGGCAAAAACGGGCCAAGCCCCCCCCACCTCAAACCGCGAGAGTTCCCCCGACCCCCTCCCGGCCAGATGCTGGGGGACCAGGCTTGCGCCCCCGCAGCTCCCTTCGTGTTCCCGGCCCCGGTTCGCTGGA